GATGCTCGTACATGTACAAACCCACATACAGGAGAGTGGGCGGTAGCAAATACTTCCAACTAAGAAGACGGGATAACTAAAAACGAACAATCAAGTGACAGGCCTAAGTAGGTGGGTGTGGCTTACAATCATTCCTCCTCCCAGGAGGGACACAGGGAGGAGCAGTTCAGCTGGAACTATTGAGGACATTCTTGAAACGTGTCTTTGAACAGTGAACATTATACTCCCGGTATTGACCCATCTCTAATTAAAGCACACAATTCTAATTAATGCACGGGTACTCTAATGACTGCACTAACACTGAATGAGAATATCCCAAGTGAGAAACGAAACTCCAGGTCCTCCCGAAAGTCTTTACAAAGGTCCTTACAAGAGATGGTTCTTGAGACCAGAGGAGGCTCGAGCTGGTACTCAGTTACTTGCTCTTGAGTGAGTCCTAAAAGTTGCTGATAGTCCGAGACGATGGTTGAACAAGTGGTACGATGGACGTCACCTAGTGTCGCTGGACAGAGGCTGGTCAGCTGCTTCTGTACCGACTCGTCAATGTGAGAGTAGAGTCCAGCCTTGAATGTCTCTGTCTTTGTGTGGTCGAAGTCTTCTTGAGGCTTATATTCATCAGCTACAGCTGGAGAGAGAGAGAGAGAGAGAGAGAGAGAGAGAGAGAGAGAGAGAGAGAGAGAGAGAGAGAGAGAGAGAGAGAGAGAGGAGAGAGAGAAATAGAATAATATATTAGATAATGAGTGGGGGAGATGTGCAAAAAGGAAGAGAAAAAAGGAGGAGAGAGAGAAAGGGAGAAAACATGAAAGCAACTTAAAAGGAAGCTATTATAAGAATACTTACTAGCTATATGTCCCAGTATTCCTTCCATTGCTGCTTGAACTCTTGACTCCAACTCAGCCGCCATTGACTGCGTCTTCTGTATTGATCTCTGATACACAAGATGTCCTTTATCATTCAAATTTTGCTGCTTAGAACAAATCTCCTGCAATTCGCTTTGTATTAAAGAACTAAGCAGAGCATAAAAACAGTAATACACGTTAATGTTTATTTTTACTTTTTCTGAGTTGCTTGTTCGCTTTCAAAGTTAAGAAGTTCTTCCAATTCGAGGACAATCTCTAGACCTCGTGAGTGGTGCTGCTCGAATTTTGTCTTAATCGCCGAATTTGATAAGCACTCTTTAAACTTTAACTCAAATCTCTCAAACTCAAGAAGACGTCCCTTGTAGCCATCGTGAAGTCCCCTGCCTAATAAATTAATAATAATAATAACAACAACAATAAAAATGATAATAGAAAACAAGGAAAAATACATTCTACACCTGTACATAAAGATAATTTTTAAAAAATTCTAATAATTCATTTTACCCAAGTCGCTCTGATTTTCTCTCTGTCTGTTTCTAATCGTTACAACTTCTTTAGCCGAAACGAAATAAACTCTCTCCCTAGCAGTGTCAGGGTCTATGACTGAGAGTTGGTTTGAGAGGAAAGAGATGTCGTTCTCCAAATGTTGTTGCTTGACCTCTTCCACCATCGAGGGCTCTTCCTCAACACAAACGTCCCAGCGATTGTTTAAAATGAATATATTCGGGCGGGAGAGTCTTTCGCTAACTCGATGAAAGAAATTCTTTTCCTGAGAGACAAAAATCAGAATCAAAGATGACTGAATTATGGGTATTAATAATAATGAAACAATGGCTGATATTCTAAGAGTGCTGTTAACAAAAATGTCACCAAACAATATCAGCACAATATGTTCAATGCAGCAGCTGAAATCACTACATTAACTATACCAAAATTGTAACAAAATAAACAATATGTACACAAAAAATAATTTGCGCTTGTATTCCAAATTTACTAATTAATTTTTAAAAGCAGAGCGCCAGCTTGTTTGTCCTGTAAGAGCGGAAACGATAGCAGGATCCAAAGACGACTATTGACCCAACAAGAGGTAATTAGGGTACTCTAATTTGCCGGCTGGAAACACTCCCCTGCAGTCCGACCGCAACAAACAGCCCAAGACATATTTTTAGTACAGTCAAACCGAAGGCAGTGTACCATTACATCATAGGGGTTATTTGGTTAAGAGTTTTCATTTATTTTATTAGTTTTACTTAGCATACGAGAGAAAGACAAAATAATACTGTATTACGTAACAGCATTGGCTTTCTATCTTGAACAAAGCAAAAGGCTAATGGAATTATAGAAATAATGTTTTCATTCAAAATACATACAAAGACTATAGATACACTCTTTCATGTACATGTATGTACATTTAAAGAGGTACACGTAATAGTGAAAAATTAGAGAGATTTCTTCTGATGACTAATTATAACGTCGTAAAGAAGGGCCAAAGGATCAGATCTGTTGTGTCTTACGCTAATAAAATAATACTAATAATATTTCTTACGGCATTCATTAATGTCGACTCAGCATTAGATACGAGGACGAAAACATCAGCGTCTAAACAATGCGAGTTTATCCAGTCATCAACGTCGGGATTCATATCAATACCAGGACTGTGAAAAAATGATAAATAATAATAAAAATAAAAATAATAATAATAATAATAAAATAGTAATAATTATTAATAATAAGATAAGATTAATTACACGTACTGTATGTCAGGCTAGGTTAAGATTTGGTAGAAATTAAAATGAAAAATAAAAATAACAATTAATAATAGTAAATTAATATTTCTTACCTGTCTACGAATTCCACATCTTCTTGGAGTAAAGCACACTTCTCCTTTGGCCAGCAAACCCTGAGGAGACTGTTAGTGGAGAGACGTTCTTTATGCAATGAATTAGCCAATTGCTGAAGGGACTGGAATGGAAGCAAAATATCAATGATAATAAAAAACAGCATTTGCGTGTACTTTTATATCGGAGTGTTCGCCAGATCCAGGTACAATTACATATCCTTTGTCTTCATCAACTCCAATGACTGACAGGAAGCAGTTTGTGGTATGTCCTATGCCAGCAGGTAGGACTTTATCATGAAGGAGAGCATTCACAACAGTGCTTTTACCATTGGAGGTACGACCAAAGAATGCAACCTATTGTGACATCATATGACATCATGAATAAGTCCATTGTACATGTACAGTGTAGCCTCTTCATTAAGGACACCGTTGGGCCCATACTACCTGTCCTTAATGCATGTACAGTGTAGCCTCTTTATTAAGGACACCATTGGGCCCAAACTACCTGTCCTTAATGCATGTACAGTGTAGCCTCTTTATTAAGGACACCATTGGGCCCAAACTACCTGTCCTTAATGCATGTACAGTGTAGCCTCTTTATTAAGGACACCATTGGGCCCAAACTACCTGTCCTTAATGCATGTACAGTGTAGCCTCTTTATTAAGGACACCATTGGGCCCAAACTACCTGTCCTTAATGCATGTACAGTGTAGCCTCTTTATTAAGGACACCATTGGGCCCACACTACCTGTCCTTAATACATGTACAGTGTATCCTCTTTATTAAGGACACCATTGGGCCCACACTACCTGTCCTTAATACATGTACAGTGTATCCTCTTTATTAAGGACACCATTGGGCCCACACTACCTGTCCTTAATACATGTACAGTGTAGCCTCTTTATTAAGGACACTATTGGGTCCACACTACCTCTCCTTAATACATGTACAGTGTAGCCTCTTTATTAAGGACACCATTGGGCCCACACTACCTGTCCTTAATACATGTACAGTGTAGCCTCTTTATTAAGGACACCATTGGGCCCAAACTACCTGTCCTTAATGCATGTACAGTGTAGCCTCTTTATTAAGGACACCATTGGGCCCAAACTACCTGTCCTTAATGCATGTACAGTGTAGCCTCTTTATTAAGGACACCATTGGGCCCACACTACCTGTCCTTAATACATGTACAGTGTATCCTCTTTATTAAGGACACCATTGGGCCCACACTACCTGTCCTTAATACATGTACAGTGTAGCCTCTTTATTAAGGACACCATTGGGCCCATACTACCTGTCCTTAATACAGAGGTGTCCTCATTTCAGAGGTCCTTTTGTACATACTAATTAAGACATTACATAATGTCCTCATTATAATGTATCTGACTGGCCTCACTATGGACTATTACTCCCTCGGGCAGTTTTTCAGCTAATCAGCAAAAACTAAAAGTTATGACTAATTATAATCAAGTCCCATGGCCTCTGATTATAGTAACCATGGTAACACTTGGCATCCCATGTGTACATCATCAGAGCTTGGCACAAAAACAGAGAAACCATTTTAAAAGACAGACCCAAACACAAGTGATCAAGTTGATCAACTATTAAGTAATACCTGAGGGCGCCTTTTTTTTCGAGGGGCTGTAAATTTTGCGAATTTAAATTTTGCAGACTCAATTTTTTTGCTGCCATCTTGTATCATATTAGGTTGATTTACATGGAAGTAACTTTCGCAAATCTTCAAAAAATTGCAAAATCGGCAAAATTTACAGCCCTCAAAAAAGGTGGTGCCCTACAGTATTAACATTAATTAATCATTAAGTAATATTCATTTAGTAATATTAAAATTAGTTGACTATAAACTAATAGTTAATTAATTACCTTCATATGATCCCTGGCTAATATTTCCTCGATTCCGGCCGTCTTTTCAAGAAGGACAGTTGTTCTCCCTCCTCCCTCCCCGCTCTCTCCTCCTTTAGCCTCTACCAATATAGCATGCGCTTCTAGCAATTCTGTTTTTATTAGTCCGAAAGTTTTGTTGATACTTTCTTTAGCAAGTCCAAACCGTTTGAGAGGGCTCGTACGACCAGTGGGTTGACTATGGGCGTCCGGTGTACCGGATATCCTCCTTTCATAGACACTAGTGGGTCTAGTAAACTATTAAATTAAAAATATTAGAAATTATGATGTAATAAATAATAATAATTGCAACAATGTTTATTTACGTCTTTTTTCTGCATTTTCAGTATGACAGTCTCAGGTGAGTCCACAGACTTTTGCTTCTGAGAGAGTTTCAAAGGAGTACTCATAATTCTGGACTAGATGGAGCCTTTCTTTTACCACGTGAGATTATTGAGATGAGGAATGGGAACAGAAAAAAGGGCGGGAACAATCCAATTGTTAACCACGCCTACATTTAAAGGCGTCGCCCACGCAATGTTACATAGGCGTTGATTTTATTTTGACCTCGCCCATAAAAGGCAGGACGACGCTATACGTTCGCGTTTTTTTAACGCAAAAGCTTTAAGAAAAGAAACAAAGAAACAATGAGCTCTTCAGATAACGAGGATTTAGTCCAGGCAGCTCTAGAGGCTAGATCAAGGGCTCACTGCCCTTACTCTAACTTTCAAGTTGGGGCAGCCCTCAGGACAAAGAGTGGGAAAGTAGTAACTGGTATGTTACATCTTAGGTTAAATCAATTATGATCAATTCGAGGAAGTGGTATACATGTACATGTACTAGTAAACATGGTTTACAGTTCCTGTGACATTAACTTGAGGGATTGGACAAGGGAAGTTGGGATTAATTTTGCCATGTCAACAAAATTACCACATAGTGTGAGAATTGCTGAAAGTTACAAGTTTAGATCATATTCTTGTCTTGTAAGCAAAGTTTTCAGTTTGCTCTGACAGTTAAGCTATTATAGCATGAAAATTATTTCTAAGTTCTCTACCAAATCAACATACATGTACATAATGTAAATACTACAGAAGTAGAATATTTTACTGTCTTTATTATTTAATTTTTAAATTTTTACTTGTTTTTAATTTTACCATTTTACATGTGAACTACTATGAATTAATATAGCTAACAAAAAATTAACTGGTTTTACTTTTTTTTTTATCATAAAATTAGAGTCACCTTAAAATATTCCACTTTTATTATACATTATCATAATTTTGTTTAGGTTCTAATATAGAGAATGCTGCTTACCCGCTTAGTACTTGTGCTGAGAGGGTAGCTATTACAAAATGTGTTAGCAGTTTAGAAAATAAAGATGACAAGAAAATTGTAGCCATTGCTGTAGCAACGTAAGTTCAAAGTGAAATGACCCCCCCTACTTAACTGCCTTCTCTCCTCCTCTCCCTTCCTCTCTGTAGTAAACTTGATGATCAGTTTCCTTCTCCTTGTGGAGGCTGTCGTCAAATTATTGCTGAGTTTGGTTGGGACTCTAACTGTCAAGTGATACTTGTAAAAGCTTCTGGTGCCACAACTACAACAAGCATTCAAGAACTGTTGCCTAAAGCATTTCTACCTGATGTACTAATTAAAGAATAAGTTATAATATTAATTATTATTATGTTGCTTTTTATTATAATTTATATTGAGTAGTTTTGTGTCTTAGAAATTTTTTTTTTTTTTAACAAAAAAAAACAAACCAAAAATTAGTGTAGGTGAGTGTTCATTTTAATTAGTAGGTGTGGTTTGTTGTGTAGGCGTGGTTTTTACTCGAAAAGAATGTCTGTGCTGGAAAGGATCCCTTCTCCTTCTTCTCTCTCATCTCCTCCTTACGTTGAGGTTGAGCTTATGAGACGTACCTCACAGAGACGGGACTCTGAAGTATTGAAGAAGAGAGTCTACGTTACTGAAGTAAACGGGACTGTATCTCTTGACCTCTACTCGGGCTGGGCTTTGGAAGGCGAAGAACACAAGTTTAAACTATACCAGCTTCCCATCAAAGTCTGCTCTTTCACTAATCTACAGAAGCTTTGGGTCTCTCACAACAATCTGGCCGAGCTACCAGGCCAGATTGATCAGTTGATCAATCTAAAGGAGCTTTATTTGCACCATAATGCTTTCACAGCTGTACCGTCGCGTCTTCTAAAACTAGAAAATTTAGAAATCCTTTGGCTTTCCTCTAATTATATAACCTCCGTCCCTCCCGAAATAAATCTCCTAACGAACTTACGCCATCTTCATCTCGAACACAATGAGATAGCCCAGTACCAGGAGTCTTTGAACGACCTTCCTAACCTTTCTGTTCTCTACCTAAATCACAATAACCTCCAGGCCCTATCTTACAATATTCACAAACTGTCTCAGACCCTGCGCCGTCTGTACCTCCAATACAACAAGCTTCAAACTTTACCTGAGACAATATGTACTTTAGAAAAACTCGAGATTTTGTATTTGGAGAATAACGAGATTAACACCGTCCCGCAAAACTTTCAGCCTTTCTGTCAGAAGATTGAAACAGATAACAAAGGTGTCGTCAAAGTTAGCAATAACCCATATGTGACTCCTCGTTCACGAGTTAAGTTAAGTGTCGGTGCCCCACCAAACGTCCAAGGCCTCCAAATATCGTCAAATACGCGTCGCCATTCTGATTACACTGGGCCGCTGGGCGACGGTATTAATCCGAGCCGTTCTAGTCGGTTTTCTGTTCCGGCTGGTGGTATCTTACCTGATGATAGAGAAGATTTGAAGAAGAAATCTTCAACTTTGCGTCACTGACGACAAATCAAATTATCGAGTAATCAACAGAACTGATATTTTTCTCTTCTTTTTGAATTTTGTTTAATTTTTCATTCATTGTAATGTGCCTACTAGAGCCATAAAAATTAATTTTATACTACAAAAATACCATAATGAATCATTATAGGGCGGGGCTAAGGGCGTGGTGCCTTACCCGCCATTGCGCGGGCTAGCTAGCTGGGCAATTATCACCTTAGCCGCACAGGTCATACTATGGCTGACAGATCCTCTATTCACTTTGTTCCAGCTTCTCTTCCTCCTCAACTAGAGAGAGGGAGAGTGAGAGAGGACAGCTGGAAGAACGAAATGAACTCTTTTGCTCGAGGTCGTCCAGTGAGCGAAGCGGACGCTGAATGGCTAGAAGAAGATCATCTCCAACTCCTCCATAGCGAAGAAGAGAGAGAAGGAGGCTATGGCTCTATAACTGAAGACTTTCCAAAGGAAGAGCCAGCTCCTTTGAGGGAGAGGCTATCTCAGAATCGCAGCCGTAGGAAAATAAAGAAACATCATCGCAGACTAGATGCTAATCCATTCACATCTCTTAAAAGAGTAAGATCATAAACTAACTTAAAACCTTTTTGTATTCTGGCACATTTTTATGTACCCTTGATACTTGTAGTATCTATAACAAGATAAATAGTGTGTGCTTTTATGAAGTACCCAAAGCTCAAAGCTTGTAGCAAGGGCCTTGTTTTTAGCTTGTAATTTCTAAGGTGCTAATTGCTCTTTGTAATAACAAATTCTTTGGGTGGGGCTGAAAGCTTAACAGACACCTTTTAGTAGTATAAAGAACACCTCCATTTAATGGACAACACCTAATTACATTCCTTATTTTATTTTTATTTTATACTTTATTTTTTATAGTTAGTAATCGGTGAAGATGAAGATGAAGATTCAAGTGATGAGGAGCCCCCTACAATGAATCCTGTGTATCGTCGCTCGGGGAAAGATCTAGCAAAACTCATACTTCTACCGACACTCTACTTTGCTCTCATGATTGTTGCATGTGTCTTTGCATTCTACACAATAGAGGGAGTTGTTCTATCGTACAACAATAAAGTACAGTCGGTTCAATTGGTTGAGGTTAAGGATCGCTATCCTCCGATTGGTATCGTAATTCTCCCACAGTTCTCAAATTATAGTTTTTGTCAGTATCGTTACTATGATGACGTATCGCCAGATCCAGAGAAACCTCCGGAGCGATGTAATAAATACAAGTTACCGGAAACTTGTACTTATTTTAATGTGTCGTTTAATTCGACTGCACTTGTTAATGTAACTAGATTTGCAATGGTGTTTAAAGGTCCCACACTAGTTGACTGTAAAGAATCCTTGCTGCTACACTTCAGCATCAATACAACCTCAAGACAGTTCAGTGCAGTAGAGTACATTTTATTTGAAAACTGGAACTATTTCGAGTCGTTAAAAGAAAACGAAAGAAAGGGATTCCTTGCTTCGCTCGAGCAGTACAGAGACATATACACTTTTCCAGCTGGTTTTAGGACGTGGGTCAAAATGAGTTACACTATACGAACGGATTACAGAGCAACAACAAATAAAACTGATTTCAATATCATCGATAATTACGCTTCATTCAATGACCCTGGGCTCGATGGGATGTACCCGATGGAGGTTGTTTTTGAATGGAAAGATCGCTACTATGACTACGTGAGGGACATCATCTCTACAACGGCTTGGAGTGCTTTCGGCTCAATATGTGGCGTTTTTATAACTTTAGTGAAAGCTGGCGAGTTTTGTCGCATGTGGATGAGAAGGATCAGGAGAGACAAGGAAAAGAAAATGTTGCATTTGAAAAAGTTGGAGGAAGAACATGAGAAAGAGCTCGAAGCGTATAAAGAAAGACAGAAAGAGAAGAGAGAGAATAAGCTACGGAAATCAATGGAAACTACGAAAAGTTATCACATACAAAAGAACTGAGTGACTAGTCAATTGAACGTTATTTTAATTTTGTTATTTTTAAATTTTGTCCGTGAGACTCGTGACTAATGTGTACATATGTGTTAATTATTTATTAAATTATTTTCTTTTAAAATATGAAAAAAATTTCTTTACACCACGCCAAATTTTCCATCTCCACTTCTCATGTTCGGACCCTTCCCACATGCCCCGCCCTCTTTTCTTAGCAGCTTTCTCACTCTTCACAAGTCTGGACACAAAGGAAGTGTGGTGTCGAGTGTTGCCATGGAAACAAGGAACGTCCCTAATAGTAGCTAATCCATTTGTAAGTAACGACTCATTTATACTAGCAGTATTGAAGAATGGAAACTGAAGAGAGAGAGGAGGAGAAGGAATATTAAATTACAATAACTATAATATCAAATACATTTACTTTGTTTGCTTTAAAAACGATGCATTCAACTTGCTCTTCATTTCCATCTAATAAAATAAACCTAATCTTTTCATTATAAAGATTCTCTTCAATCCATTTCCCTGTCTTTGTCAAATCATTATGAGAAATACCAGCAAAGCTGACCCTAAGCAAATCTACAGAGAATAATAATAATTTTCATCTATATTTTTGTGCCTCTATAAAATATTTACTTTCATTGCTAGGTGGGTGGAGCTTTCTCCTAAGGACCCAGTGTCCGAGAGGAATGTGCCACACCCCCAAACTATCGCCGGAAAAGTTAACGACACGTCCAGTTAATCTGTGATTGGTCCGAACCAGGTTAAGAGGAATAGAAGCAGCTGATTGAAAATGAGAAAACTAGAGGAGACGGAGAGAGACAGCTGGGAATATAAGAAGGGGTTAATGTTATGTGTACAAGCGTCAATTTGCAGGTGCGAACATGTACATGAAGCCATACAAAGTTACAAACAATATAGGATTCTGTACCATATGGGTGTTCCTGGCTATCAGGTAGACACCAAAACCACCTACAAACCACGGAAGAAGCTAGAGAAAATAAATATAAAAGAGAGAGAAATAAACTGAAATTTACTCTAACTAATCTGATGTTCTTATCTATCCAATCGTCCATCACGTCCATACTTAAACACCTGTTGTCCGTATAACACGACCACTCCCATTAAAACGCCGCATATCCCCGTATACTACTACACAATGGCGAAGAGGTCCGAGTCGCAGGTGAAAGATGTTCTCCTAGAGCACGTTTCTCAAGACATAAAGAAGGTAAGGGCGGGTTTCCCTGTCCGTCAAGTACCCCTGTTCCTATCCCCTAGCTCCAGTCCCTGCAGTGTGATGTCTCTCTTCACGAAGATACTATTACTAGTACTAACTCGAGGGCTCAGTCATTATGTCATCATCTTGACTGCATACTATTACACGGGTAAGGGCTCTTTCTATTCTATTCCTTATCTCTCTGGAGCTCAAATTATTTATGCTTTTGTTGCATTATGCTTTAGAGGTGTGGCTAGTTATTTTTTAATCACTTCTATTATTATTATTAATTTTTTTCTAGTCTTTTTAGATCTGATTTTGGTTACTGGGCATGCATGACGCAATTATCTCATAAAGACACCATTAGGAGGATCACTGACCTCAGTGTGGTGAGGACTAACATTGGAAGAGGTTAATAATTATGTTAAACGTGATGTTAGATAATAATCATAGCTGTTGGTAGCACAGGGTGGGTATTTTCTGAGAAATGGCAATAAGACATTTCTTCATTTTATTGATACATATTTAATGACTACACAGCATAAGAACACGTATAAGTGTAGAAAGTTTGAGCTGATTCCAATCAATATTGGATTTTTTACGAATTTTTAAAGTTGCTCAAAACTGTAACAAGAATACCCTGTATTATTATAGTCATGATACAGTACCACTCAGCTATAGTGGCTAGGAGAGGACCTCCATCATTACACATTGTTATGTCATTTCTCCCACAGGTCACTCGTGGTTAAATTTGGCTCTGAACGAGCAGGTCTTTGAAAGTTATCTAAGAATATTCTTGGACAACCAATCTATAATCTGTCGCCATTATAATAAGTACAATAATGATGATAATGTTGATGTTTTATCAAGTTCTATTTTCTTTATTACAGTTATGCTTTTTTACGTGATAAAACTGTAAGTTTAGATATACATGTGAATATTCCACCAGCTAATGTTCCTCCATTTTAGAGGCTATCTGTTCTAATCACACTAGTCTCTGGACTGGATTTTGTGACCTTTGACCTTGACCTGGTGAGCAATCAATACATCCTGATTATTATGCATTGACCACACCCGCTTAATTAGGACGAAGAGTACCTGAATTATCGCATCACGCCAAATGAGTATTTCAACGATCGAACCTTTGATCTAAGTAGGGATTTATTTTAAACTTTATTTAATTTCTTTCTGTCACCCTCCTCTCTCTCTCTCTCTCTCTCTCTCTCTCTCTCTCTCTCTCTCTAGATATCGATTTATCATTTTTATCACGAGTTACTCCAGAAACTAAACGAAAAAAAATCGGATTAACATCATCTGACAACCACAGCAGCTCTTTCCCACCAACCGGACAGCAAGTGCAACCTTTCTCCTCTCTGCCCGCCTCACTTACAGGAAAAGAAGCGGGAGGGACCAATTTATCTGAACCACACCCACCCACTACTACATCTCCAATTAAAGAGCACATTTTAGATGAAGGAGGGGCTGGTATGGGTGGAGTTTTGTCCGATGGTCATATAGTCGAATCATCAGGAGGTCCTAGTTTTATAAACAGGTATATGCAGTTAGACCAACGGGAGAGAGAAAAGAAACAATTTGTGACGCAAAAGGAGAAAGAAGAGAAAGAAAAGGAGGAGGAAGAGTTAGTTGCTGTCTCTCGCCCTCAGAAAAAAATAAAAAAAAAGAAAAAGAAAAAGAAGAAAGAGTCAGTCGAAGAAAGTGAACCCATGCCCACCAACGAGGACCTGACAGATTCTCTCAAAGATACCCAGTCCACGCCCACTCAATCTGAGACGCCTTTAGCGGAACCAATCAAATTAGCCGAACCTGTGCAGCCTGTAAAGGAAGAACAAGTGCCATTGTATGATGGACTATTGACAGCTGGAGAGAGAGAAATTGAAGAAATTGATAGTCGTGAAGAACATTTAGATCCATTTCTTCCTGCTATAACAAAGGAGGACAATAGTAGCCCTTTGATTTTACACGATGATCCTTCTACGTCACATGATGATCATGTGGTTCCTCATGACATTTCAAGGAGTAGGGCTGACGCTATAAGTTCAAGTACTCCTTTTGATGATGTCATTGATAAAGCCACACCCATCAAAACCACGCCCATTGAAATCACACGTACAGTAGCGACACCTACCTTTGATACAGAAAATGTTTCTCAAGCTTCTCCGAAAGCTAAATTGTTGATACCTGAGGCCACACCCAATTTAAGTAAAGTTTTGTAGAGTTTATGTATTATTTGTATTCTTTATAGACGAGTCAATTAAATATGAAGCCCCACCTACTCGTCCAAAGGAAATCACTGAATACAACAAGAGAGAATGTGACGTTGAGATTGATGAAACAATGAAAGTTATTTTGTCAATAGATGTACTTTATGACTCGAAAGAATCAGTGAAAAGAGTAAGGGGTGTATTCACTGTTAGATCTAGAGAGACTTGGTCTCCCATATTTGGTCTAATATGGGTCTCCTAAAATCTACCATTTTCGGCTTTTGGTCTCTTGTATTTAGCCTATGGGTATTGCATGTACAGATTGGTCTCCCAAAATTTGTTTGTAGATTTATGGAATGTATACCATTGACCATATTGCAAAACTTAACACATATGTATAGTACAAGTATTCTCTATGAAATGTTCTTGCTATTACTATAATTACATGTACATTGTACACGTATTTCTCCCACAGGTGGTCCAGGTTCAGGTACCTGTTGGTCCCGGCCGCTATCAAACAGTTTACCTTGCAATAACTAACAAAGCACTGTATCTCATGGAAAAAGGTGCATTCTAAGAAATATTGAAATCCCTATAATTAGAAAACTTTTTCCTTTAACAGACGGTACGGATGGCAATTACAGTCGTAGGATGGGTGTGAGTTATTCCGACCTTGTATACTTAGTGGTCGGACTCAGTTGGCAGTCACTGGGTCTTGTTTATATGGTCGGTGAAGCCCAGGACAAGCAGATTATAATAACAGGTAATGAAGCTGTATCAAGGAGCATAGCAGATTCCATTAGACGCACGTCTTCCGTCCCTTTGAACCGAGACGATGAGCTGAGGACAGAGGCCATTGAGAAAGAATTGATTAAACTGGGAAGCGAAGTAATTTAATATAGCTAATTAATTTGTTGTTTGCTATTCATCATAAAAACGTACAATTTAATAATCTGCAAACTGCAAAAGCATTTTAGGTAATGGGTGTATCAAAAGCTCACGCCTACACCAGCAAAATTAAATTCTACATACATTTGCACATAAAAATTTGCTATCATTAGTACAAAATCGCCAAATATAGTCCCCACAAACTTTTATATCTATATCGTGATATCATTATTTAGTGTATCCCATTTATAGACTAGTATGGAGAGATTAAGATACTGTTTGGTGTATTGGGAGCAGCTCTCAGGAGAGACTCCATCTGTATCACCGCCAGACGACACAGGGAGTAAGTATACAATATACTGTTATTCATTTTTTATTAATTAAAAAAAACTTTAGATCCATTTTGTGGTCATCTTGATGTAAAAGAGATAGGTATCTTAAAGACAACATGGCGGCAGTGTTACTTCACACTCATCGAGGGAACGCTTTTCCAATTTAACAGTGAGGTTTGTACCAAACCCAGTACTTGGGAAGAATATTACCAGACCCCTTGTGTGTTTTTAGGCTGACAAATCTCCCAGAGCTACTTACAGAATGCAGTAAATGATTTACTTCTTACTTATTATTTTATTATTTTTTTCTCAGGGGTTCCAGAGCAGGGTGTTCTAGAACCCGAGGGGATGCAAAACAGTTTGAATTTTTGGTATATGTCCACAATACATAGCCACACCCTAACCACGCCCCTTTACTAGGTGCAAGACAATGATGGTGAATCGTTATCATTAGCTGCTAGGGATGAAGAGGAACTTAGCAAGTGGATGCAAGCGCTGTGTCTAGCAGCTATGGGACACACAGTGGACCTTGTTAGTATAATACCTTTACTTTAATAAGCAACTTTAAAATTCAATTCAAAAAAGACCTGCTTGTACTATAGTACAGGGTCTTTGGCCTGATTGTTTGAGCAACTTTAAAATTCAGTTTTGATGGCAATCAGCTTTAAATTTCTACATAACATAGAAGCATGTATATTAGAAAACATGATAATTTAATTTAATTCTATAGACTCAGTCGTACAGTGCCAACGTGAAGAAAAGTGGTGGATTCTGTGCAGTTTTACAAACTTTAAATAAAGTGATTGCACTATTATTATTATTATTATTATTATTATTATTATTATTATTATTATTATTATTATTATTATTATTACAGATACATGTGTTGCTTGAGGACTGGTCAAACGAGTCTGTCCACTTAGTTGGGAGTATATCAGTTGAGGACATCAACAAAATTGCAATAGACAGCAGCCTTCCTCTCTACTGCACTTTGGTGAGCCATTTATTAAATTGGACACTCTCTATAGCGTACACCTCCATTTAACAGACAACCAATTACATTCCTCACTGTATAAAATAACCTCCATCTAAAGGACACCTCTATCAAAGTGTCCATTATATAGAGGCTACACTGTATACTATTCTCTCTCTTTCTCTTTATTTCAGGGTTATGATAATTCTGAGTCTTCTGAATCACCCTGTGTCTGGATGTTGTGTTTCAGCTCAGAATACGAACTTGGAAAATTTGAGGAAACCCTCGCAGATAGGTATCGCGACACCTTCCAGGTAATGAGAAAAAACTTAAATTATACTGATGGTGACATTGGTGAGAGCATTTGGCAAATTTGTCTGTGGATAGAGTAAGGCTGGTTCACAATATGACACTACACCAACGTACCATCAATTTTTAATCAAAAGTGTGGGCAATTTGACCTTTTGACGCATACTTTTTGCTGGAATTGAACCAGATTCGATTCCAGCGTCAACGTAACGTCAGGACTAGCGTAATATTGTGAACCAGGCTTAACTGGAGAAATATTGTCTTGTGCCATGACTCATGAGCATGCTCAGATTGAAAAGTGGCGATTTCTAGTTCTTTACAAAACTTAATAATTAATGGGTGTGGTTATTAATTATTTTTGTGTAGGTTGAGCCGCCTTTTTCTGAGATAAGAGATTCCAATGTTAAAAAGAGGGCGGGGCAAGCCTTGGAGCTTATGATAGCCAGTAAACAGAAAAGTGACAGCTTGACAAAAGGACGGAGCGAGTATCGCTTTGATTAATATGATAACACCAATTGATTTATTGATACTATTAATTAATCGATCGACTGTTTGATATTTTAAATTATTATATGAATGAATGTATTTTATAATAATAATGAATTTTGAATAAAATTAATAAATAAAATTAATTATAAATCATTTCTTATTCCTAGATTTCTTAGAGCTGGCCTTAGCCCGCCCTACTTCACTCGTCTCATTATTTTGAACGACAGTATCAAACGCATGTCCGAATTCCTTTATGTGACTAAATAACTTATTACGAGATTTAAACTGTCCACTACACACAGTGCAGGACCATTTGGAGGCTGTACCACTTTCTTTACTACCAGTGGAGTCAATGGTATCCATTCCAGCTGCTTCTTGGGATGATTTTGGAGCCTGTTTCCCCCTCTTTTTCTTACCGGAACGTTTTTGACCCTCACCCCATTGATGATGATCAGTGCTTTCGCTAAAATCATAATTAACAAGAGTGAGTGTGGCTAGTTATTAATAGTAATAGTTAACTAACTGTTTTGTTGATGATGGAAGTTCTGTAACTTCTGTTTCAACAACATCGATTGATAATGGTAATGGGTTTAGACTGGAAGAAGGTATAAAAGTTATAATTATAATGAAAAATAAAGATTATTCACTTTATTGGTTTGCTTTGAAGCAGCTGTGTATCCTCCTCTTTCTCTCCCTCATTGCTGGAATCAGTCTCACAGTCTTGGGACATTAGATGCGATGATACTGATCCAGAAACATCTATAGAGACATTATTCATTTTGGTAGACAGTGGATCAACAGTTAATGGCTTTTCTTCATCATTTTCTATTAAAGCACCAATAGTAGTATCTGTATGTACTGGAGTCACAATGTCTTCATTTTGTGGTGGGCGTGATGACGGTTTTATTATGTCCCCCTCCTCCTCCTCCTCTCCACTGCTCAAGAGGGTGCTCTTTAATAAGAGTAAGTTCTCTTTATGCTTCTTAGATTTCTCGTGATTGGCAAAACTAGAAAAAAAGGCAAAAAATTAATATATATAGACAAAATGATAATTATCAGTCTTACGATTTTTCTGATTTAAATATTTTATTGCATGCCGGGCAATACAAGTCAGGAACAGTTTCAGATTCATCGGAGCCACTCCCACCTAATTAATTAAATAATTAATATAGTGGGTGTGGTTTCACTTACTGTCAGAATCTTTTCCAAATTCGTTATCAATCTCAGCTTGCATGGTGGCCATTTTCTACAAGAGAGGGAGAGGGAGGAGGTTAGGGAGAGAGAGAGGGGGGGGGGTGAGCGGTACTAACTCTTTCTAATTCCTCGTCATTTTCCCATTCATTAGGTTTGTACTCATGTAATTTTAAATCTCTAATAAATAATAATAATAGTAATTACATGTTTAAATAATAATAATAACAATAATAATAATAATAATAATAATAATAATAATAATAATCTTACTCAAGTCTTTTCTTAGCTTCAGCAGCCTTTTGCTCGTTAATTTTCTTTTTTCTCTCAATTTCTCTCTCGGCTAAAGTTTTCTAATTACAATAATGCGGCCGTAAAATTATTTCTTTCTACTTGAATACTGACCCGATACTCAATAACTCTTTTGTCTCTTTTGCGCACATAGGCCACGAGTTGCTATGGAAACAGATCAATGCATGTACCATAAATATTCTAATTACCCGGACGGTCTCGTTCCTTTTCTTCTTTGCAGCATCTCTTATCTTCTTATTATCTTTCTCCATCAGTTTCTCAACTTTTCGATTCGCTGCCTATGTTACGCCATGGCAACAGTAACCATAGCAACAGTAACCACAGCAACAGTGACCATAGCAACACTAACCTGAGTCCTATCATACTTGTTGAGCCAGTGGTATGGACGCTGGGTCGAAAAACTTTGCCAATGAGCATAAAATGGATGTACCACCTTTAAAAATAATTAATAACTATTATAAAAAATAGCAAGAAGTTTTTACCTCTTCATAATTGCTTGTTGATTGCCCTGTAAAATTTATTGGGTAACCCATTAAAATTATAATATAATGCTGATTACCAAAAGGAGGGAGATAGAGTAGACTCTCCTCATCTGAAAACTGGCACTCCTCCTGGACTATGAGAGCAAACAGGTTGCCATAGATACTGTAAAAACCCTGTGGAGAAAGGAATACTATTCATAATATGTACATCAGGGTTTCCTACAAAAATTTCCAATTGCCATGCACTGTAGTGCTTATCAGCTCATGAAGCTCATGCTGTTTAGCTCACTTAGCATGCTTTGTGGGAAACCCTGATATAGATTATGCATGTTTGGGTAACGAAAGGGTTAAATTTATTAATAGTTAGCCCATAAAATTTATACAGTACATAATAATATTTTCATACATTTGGGTCATCCCCGAATCCTTTGTAGACTGTTCCACTGAAATATGACATAATATCAACAACATCATCCTTAAACTCTGATCCAACTATCAATATATCAATTAAGCCACTCCCACAACTCCACCCCTTCATTATTACCTCCATACAGTATCTCCTCCCTGTGTCTGTCATACCTGTATCAAGATCATGTGACTGTCACATGATGCAATATCTTACCAAGCTCTCTCTTGAGGGTCTGATAACACCTCGTACGCATTTTGAACCAAATGAAATATCTTATTGCTTTCGTCAACATTGTCTGGGTTTTTATCTACAGAAATAAATCACGTGATAAGTCACGTGACTAGGGGTACCTGGGTGGTATTTAAGAGCCAGTTTCCTGTAAGCTTTCTTGAGTTGTTCTTCGCTTGCATTTCTTTCCACACCTAAAACTTCGTAATGGCATCTTTTCACAGTGGCTGTCGCCATAGGTATTAGAGAATAGGAATACGGGTATCTATGTTGTCGCCATGGCCATTATGATTGGAGCCACGCCCGAATTGAGCCACACCTCTGTCTCAGAATCTAGCTGTAGCATGGAATTAACAGATACAATTTTCCTTCTTTTGCTGCAGTGCTGGCTGTGCTGCTACATTGATTGTGCTGGTATTAAGTTTTATTCATTCATTGTAATTTTTATTGTTTAATTCGTTTTAGATATAACGATTCAGCCAGTGTCTATTAATACAACGCTCAACTCTACTGTTGTCTTCTCTTGTCAAGGAACTGGTGATGAAGTTATTTTCACAGTTAATAATATACCAGTACATGATACTGGTGTTATAGCTAAAGGATTCAGTGCAACATCAACTAATAATGGTGGTAATGTAACAGCAGAGCTGCAAGCAACAGCTTATGAACATAATAATAATACTGAAGTGAGATGTAGAGCTATTACTGATAATCCTCCTGAAATAGTGTCCAGTAATACAGCAATATTAATGATACAAGGTTAGTGTGTGTATATTCATCATTATTCCAGTGCTTCTTCAGGTCTATTGGATAGTGTTGTTGATCTGGATTATACCTTTATCAATGGATCCAGTGTATTATTAACATGGACAGCTCCTTATACACTGGATAATGTACCTATCACTGGATACTATATAATCAATGGATCAGTGAACATTACTACTACTAATAATAATACTAATATTATATTATCAGCCACTAATCCTGATCCTTGCATATTAAATTATGTATCAGTATCTCCTATCAATGATGTTGGTATTGGTTCACCTAATTACATCAGTTTGTATAATAAAACAGGTTAGCATTACTCAATGGCTTTATGTATTATGTTCACAGTGTATCTTTCAGTTCCTCTCATTACTCCTCCTGTATCAGTGGTAGCAGCAATTGATGGACAACAAATATCACTGAATATCAGTATTAATGTATGTATGTTTTTACACAACATGGAAAACAACATGCAGTTATATGTATTCATACAATTACAATGTTATTTAAACTATAATTACATAAGAATACTCAGTTATAATAACATCAGTTCACCTTATTCCCACAATACTGTAGGTCAGTACAATATGTAAAGGAGAGTATCCTAATAGTATATCAGTTACTATTCTGAATACTGATAACACAGTAATAAAGAATACCAGTATATCACCACAAGTTAATGATCAACTGATGATTGTAACTGGAAATAGTTCAGTAACTAATTTAAATACATTTACTGTTAATGTATTATTGAGTAATAATGGAGGAACATTTGGCATTATGCAATCTTTTGGATTTAGTAAGTAAATCATCTTTTAATTTTTTCTCAATGTAATATATATTAGGTTTTCTTGGACCAGTTACTAACATTAACTCTTCAATTGACAACTGTTCTACTATTGATATAACATGGACTGCTCCTACAGTTGATGATAGAGTACCTATACTGTATTACATACTAAGAATATATGATGCTATTACTGGTAGTCTAGTGGACACTGTACCAGTAAATGATACCAGTTATCAGTTTATGGATAATAATTTATATATTCATTGTTATACATATGTTATAACTGGAGTTAATGCATTAGGAGAGGGAATATTTAATAATAATACATTTTCATATCAAAGAGGTAGATATACTTAAGTCATGGATGTTTTATACTTTACAGTACCTAGAACTGTACAGAACATATCGCTTGATTCACTCTCTTCTATACAAGATATATTTATTGTCCAGTTTTATATTCCCCAAGTATATATACTTTTGTTTATGCCACTACTATCATTATATAGATTATTCTGAAATGCACTGGTGAAGCTCCTGAACATGTTACAATTACTGTACTATGTAATGGAACTAATAGCAGTACAACTTTCCAAATAGAGAATACCAATGATATAACTGGATTGATATCAGTCCCTCAGTATCAAGAGTGTAATATCAGTATTGTATTTAGTAATGAGGCTGGTAGTAGTGAACCATTTATACTGATATTTGGTAAGTATGTACTTATAATTACATAATACAAGTATTACATCAATAGATACACATCATCCTTCTCCTAACATCACTAATGTCACTGATATCACTGATGTCACTATTATTGATGCTATTACTACTACTAATATTATTACTGTACAAACATCTCCTACTACCACACCTGGTTCAACAAGTTTTAATATCAGTACTGGTTAGTATTACATGTATAGAAGAGTCCATTAAATACAATCTACTCTTGATAATACATTATTACCGTATTTCCTTAAATAAAAGCCCGGGCGTCTATTTCCTAAAATGATACTTGGACCTCCAAAAAATATATAAAAAATAAAAAAAACTTTGGCCCAGAGCGGGATTCGAACCCGTGGCCTCAAGCTTTTGACTTCTAAAACTTCAGGCATTGCCCACTAGACTACTGAGTCACTCCTAGGCTGGTGTTGCGTATTTATAGTTTAATTCTATTGCTACCCCGGCGTTTATTCGAATACGGTTTCTATTTAAGGAAATACGGTATGTATCTTATTATCGATGTTATTATAGTTATTATCACATCAGCAATATCATTGGGTGCTGTTATTATACTATTACTGACATGTCTCATTGTATTTAGTATATACAAAAGGAAGTTATTCAGTAAGTATAATACTGTTTATAGTTAAATTATTAATTACAGGGTTTGCCTCATTGCAACAACAACAAGAAATTCCTACTTCATGTAACGAAGCATACGAATTTAACACTTTAATGATTAATAATAATCCTGCTTATGGACAAATAGGACAAGGCAGAGCAGTTAATATGTGATTAGTTAAATTTAAAAAATAATAAGATGAGTGTTAATTAAGGGAATTAAAATTATTAATATATTATATGTGCTCAATTTTAGAAGATAATCACATATGCATGACCAACAATAACATTACCTCTATGTTTAGTCCAAGAAAGGTTACAGGAGAACATTAGACAACATCTATTAGTATGCATCAAAAATGTAAATTGATAAAATTGGGTGGATCCAAATGTGTTACAATATGACTAAGCTCTAGTCAGAAATAGGAGATCAAGAATAACTCATTATAAAAATTATAATGCAGTTGCATAAAGTGACAAAGTACAAAATAGTTTCAGTTCTTTAAGTAGGTAGTATTCATGCATGAAGGTTTGTGTAGCATGCATTACAAGTAGGTGTCAGTAGTTCCATTTGCATCAGTAAAACCAGATTGGACTCCTTCTTTCCCTCTCTGAGTAGGAGGAGGATCAGGATAAGGAGAAGGCGAATGTGAATCTATAAAAATTACTGAATTAAATATCATAAAAATGTAATTATTTACCATCATTAACATGAATAGGTGCATTTGATGCAGCTCCACCATGCCCTGTAGTGGCAGCTCCATTACTTTTATTATCAGGTATTGCTGGTGGATTAGTATCTCCTCCAGCAGCTCCAATTACAGTAGTACCACTAGCAGATTTTACTACATCATAAGACTGCACTAGAGGTACTTTTGATTCAGGCCTTGTTGATTCATCTGTCCCTAGATATTTTGCTAAAGATTTTGTACAAGTTGAAGGTACTACACCTAAATCTGAATATACTGGCTCTTCTGTAGTTCCTTCAGCTGCTGCTCCAGTGTTTGTGGGTTGATTCATAAATACTGGTTGTTCTTGTTCTTGTTGTTCTCGTTCTCGTTCTCGTTGTTCTCGTTCTCGTTGTTCTCGTTCTCGTTGTTCTCGTTCTCGTTGTTCTTGTTCTCGTTGTTCTTGTTCTCGTTGTTCTCGTTCTCGTTGTTCTCGTTCCCATTGTTCTCGTTCTCGTTGTTCTCGTTCTTGTTCTCGTTGTTCTCGTTCTCGTTCTTGTTGTTCTCGTTCTTGTTGTTCTTGTTCTCGTTGTTCTCGTTCTTGTTGTTCTTGTTCTCGTTCTTGTTCAAGCTATAATTAAATTAGATTATATTAATTATTTATAGTTATTCATGATATTGTGCTACTAATTGAGCCAAAGACAGATCTTTACAAACAAAAAATACACTAATGACTAACAATTATTATAATACATGTGAAGATAAACCAGTGGGTGTGTTATTAACTTACCAGTACTCCAAATGTAAGTTCAGGTTGTAGTTTAGGATGATTATCTATCAAAATTAATATTTAATAGTTGTTAAAAAAGAGATACTAACCTCTTCTTCTTGTCACTTTTATCACAATTACTAATATAACAATTATTATTAACAGCACAAAAATACAACCAACAATAGTTCTGACAATAATATCCACTAAAAATACAATGAATAAATAAGTTTTATATGTAATCAAGAGTGGATATGAACCTGGTATAGAAGTAACTGTCCCATCAGTACCATTAGTAGGAGATGGTGTAGGACTAATTGAAGGCATAACTGGAATTATAATTTCTGTGATAAAACAAATTAAAATTAATATGTAATATGCGTTTTCTAAATAAGGCTTACTAAATGTTCTAATAAATGGTTCACTACTACCAGCCTCATTACTTAATACCATACTGATATTGCACTCTTGATACTGAGGGACTGTTGCTGATCCTGTTATAGTATTTGGATGCTTAGTATTCTCCACTAGATATATGTAATGAAATACAATACCAGTTTCATTACACTGTATAATAACTGTAGCATTCTGACGAGCTTCACTAGTACACTCTAATAAAACCTATTATATTGTAAATAGAACAATATTTAATTAATATTAATTTGTTACCGGTATAGTGAAGTGCAAAGTAACTTCACCAGTCTCAGGGTCAGAGTAGTTATTAAAAGTTGGATTAACTGAGTTATTATTATGGTCTAGAGAAAATTTTTTATTAGACTACCTCTTTGAAAAGAGAATATAGAAAATTACCTCTTTCATAATAAAAACTGATATGATTAGATGAACCTATTCCAACATCATTGATAGGAGAAACTGATACATTATTTAATATACAAGGATCAGGATTAGTGGCTGATAATATAATATTAGTATCATTATTAGTAGTAATAATGTTCACTAATCCATTGACTATATAGTATCCAGTGATAGGTACATTATCCAGTGTATAAGGAGCTGTCCATGTTAATAATACACTGGATCCATTAATAAAAGTGTAATTCATATTGCCAACACTATCCAAT